TGACTAATCTCATTATGTCGGGCTGGGGCCCACGCATACAGACTGAACCCAATTTTGTTGTGATCTGAGTAATTGTTTTTTTATATGGGAATTTTTTTTATCAATCATCATTGTTTGTGAAGATGAGGGCTATGTATTCTCCAGTCTAGTAGGCTCTATTATTTGCTGGTTTAAATTGAATTTTGTGCAGAGATTTAAAAGCTCGCGTGAGTGTGAGTTTTCATCAGAGGTGCCTCCTGGTGTTATTACTGCAACAATATTATTTGCTATATTCCTCCATTTTAGGTGCCTTAAGTTGAAATCCCCCAGGAGCAAGATGTTGGGTGCAGGAGCTGGAAGGTTTTCCAGACAGTGGTCAATTTTTTAACAGCTGTTCCTGGAAATGGTGGGATGTTGCATCCGGAGGCTTGTAGACTATCACAATGACTAGGTTTTGGTTCTCGACCTTTACTGCTAAAACTTCCACTAATCATTTGAGGCATTTAGCAGTTTCTGTGCAAACAAGTGACTCTGCAATGTACAGGCCAACCCCCCCCTTTTTCCTGTTCACATCTGTCACATCTGTATAGGTTTGTAACCTGGGATCCATATTTCGTTGTCCAAGTGATCCTTTATGTGGGTCTCAGTGAAAGCCGCGAACATTGCCTTTGCCTCTGCAAGCAGTCCACGGATGAAAGGTATTTTGTTGTTTGTTGCTGGCTTTAGACCCTGTATATTTGCAAAGAAGAATGTTATCGGACTGGTGGTATTGTTGGTACTGGGGGGGGATTTTTTTTCCGGCATTAGTATCTGTATCTGTATCTCATTGTGCCTATCCCTAAGCCCCAACAGCCTGATACATTTAGGCCGATCTCCTTAACTAGTTGTCTTTGCAAAACTTTTGAAAGAATGATGCTTAACAGATTGTACTACAGAATCAGACATCAACTTTCCCCCTACCTCTATGGGTTCATGAAAGGTAAAAGTGTGCAGAACTGTATTTCCACCTTTCTCACTGCACACACCTCTACTAGTTTTACCACTTTTCTTGATCTAAAATCTGCATTTGATATTGCAAACAGAACCGTTATACTACATGAACTAGCCAAAATGAATATTGGTGGTAGCTTACTCTGCTGGATAATAGGATGCCTGTCAAATAGAGTATCCTCTGTCCTTTACCAAGGCTTCAGAAGTGATTCTAAAGAAATGTCTTTAGGTACACCGCAGGGAGGAGTTCTTAGTCCCATGCTATTTAATATTCTGATTAATGCTCTCCTAAATCCTCTACCCTGCCTCACCTAAACATATAGCCATAAGCTATGCTGGATGATATCATGATCCATACAACAGGGCATAAGAAAAAGAATACCTTTCTTAATGAAGTTCAAGCAATTTGTAATCAAACTAGGCCTCATAAATATCTTCCTCTAAAAAAAAAGATATTAACAAGCAAACGACGTCCCCCCACCCATCTATTTGCAGGGTAAAAATCATTAGCTACGTTAAAAACTTACAGATATCTTGTGTAATGTACCCTTTAACAAATCCACTATACCACAACTAAACAAGAAGTGTAAAGCTAGGCTAAATGCTCTAAAAGGGCTGTTGCTGGCTACAATCCCAACTATGGTGGCTAATGTAGAATCGTGAGAATGAGTACAAAGCCTAGTTAGGCCCTTTAAAATGATTATGCTGCTCCCATTTTTAATATTAGCTAAGAAATTTCCCCCTCCGACCCTTGGATTTTAATGCAAAATGAAGCTCTCAGGACTATTTCTTGGCTGTCCCAAAATCTACAAAAGTTCTTAACAGAGGAAGGAGCTTGGAAATTTCTAGATCAGTGATAGGATTGTTGAAATTAACACTGTACTCGGTTTTAGAATGTTTGAGAAAACGAACCAGAAAACTGTCACAGTGAATCTTACCAAGTGTCTAGAGGTAAATACACACAGATCTAAATGGATTGTGAAAACGTGCATTAAGTTTTATAACCTGCATGAACTGTAAACCACTGTAGCAGCAAGAGCATTTCACCCCTCCATGGAAAGATGTGTTCATTTAATATCACATACCACAAGTCCCTCCCAAGAAGCTCATTGCTAGTAATCCCTTCCTTAAAAACTCTTGTTAGAGCAACTGCTCAAGAAGAAATTTTTCGCCTAGCTGGTAGTAATACGTTATCACAAGTTAAAATACACTGATTGATCTAAACAGGAGTCTTCTGGCAGGGGTGCATCTGCTCTTGTTGCCACCTCCCTAGTTAAGAACGATAAAAATTTGTTGAGTTAGGCATAAGAATTAAAAAACTGGGCGTCTACACTGCAAACTGAAATTGTTTGCAATCCTAATGGCGAAAGCTAACCTATGACACTGAGCTTGACTCTATCATCATTACTGATTCTATTCATCATTGAAGGCTCTTGGCTCATATAATGATCCAACAACATGCTCATTGGGGAAGCCAGGTATAGATACTCAAAAATTAGGGACAAAGGGAATTAATGTACAATTGCTATGGATCCCATCACACATTGGATTACTCCTTCATGATAAAGTTTTATATGTTAGCCAAGAAGAGTATCCAGAAGGAGAACGAAAGAATATAACTTTGGTATAACTTTTTCAGCATTAGGAATAATATTAGGAGAGAAGTAAATAATGAAGATGATTGTTATAGGAATGCAGTTAGAAGCCTGAGTAGATCTATAACCCACTATGATAACATGAACGTAGATAAGTATGTTTATGGAGCAACTTGCAATGTGAACAGACTGACTGATGTTGTAGTGGCCAGGCTTAGGCTTGGTTACAAGTACTTATGGCAGTTTGGGAGACACACAGATGATGATCAAACTAAATGTAAATTATGTGATCAGGCATATGGTCACTCTCTTGAACACTATGTGCTTAATTGTCCACTTATTGAGGAATACAGAGACAGACAGTATAATAACCTATGTGACATGTCAAGATATCTTATTAATGAAAATAAGATACCAGATATACTAAGCAAATTTCATAAATTTGCTTGTAACAGATAAGTGAACTATGTATTCCTGTTAACCCTTTGTATTCCTGTTAACCCTTTGGGGCCTAGTTCCTAGGCCTTTTTTGTATCCACATGCTCTCGCGCTACCGTCCACAGGATGGATATGGGGTGCACAATAAACTAGCCACTTCGGTGGCAAAATCTAGAAAAAAAGTGTAATAATATCATATACACTCACCATGTTGTGTAATAATATCACATACACTTACCATGTAGTGTAACAATGTCACATACATTCACCCCAGTCTGGGCCCCAGGCCCAGACTTGTGGAACTCCGTGTTCATCAAGAATTGCAAGAAGCCCCTATCGCATGCCTTCAGCATTTCATGGAGAGGGAGCATGGACACAGGGGTCATCCCACACACACTAAAAACAACAGACATAGCCCCACTCCACAAAGGTGGCAGTAAAGCAATTGCAAAGAACAGCAGACCGATAGCACTAACATCCCATATTATAAAAATCTTTGAGAGGGTTCTAAGAAGCAAGATAGCCAACCACCTAGATACCCATCAATTACGCAACCCAGGACAACACGGGTTTAGAGCAGATCGCTCCTGCCTGTCCCAGCTACTGGACCACTATGACAAGGTCCTGGATACTGTAGAGGATAAACAAAAAACAGATGTAGTATACACAGACTTTGCAAAAGCTTTCGACAAGTGTGACCATGGTGTAACAGCACACAAAATGCGTGATGAAGGAATAATGGGAAAAGTTGGAAGATGGATCTACAACTTCCTGACAAATAGAACACAAAGAGTAATAGTAAACAGAGTAAAGTCCCAGGCAGCCATGGTAAAAAGCTCTGTTCCACAAGGCGCAGTACTCGCTCCCATTCTGTTCCTCATCCTCATTTCTGACATAGAGATGTAAGCCATAGCTCCGTGTCTTCCTTTGCGGATGACACCCGGATCAGCATGGCAGTGACCTCCATCGAAGACACCACGAGACTCCAAGCGGACATCAACCAAATCTTCGAATGGGACACTCAAAACAATGTGAAGTTCAACTAGGAGAATTTTCAACTACTCAGATATGGGAAACTTGAAGAAATTAAAAATGTGTCAGGGTATACAACAAATTCTAACCATATAATAGAGCTGAAAATTAATGCGAAGGACCTGGGAGTGATAATATCAGAATATCTCGCCTTCAAAGACCACAACAATGTATCTACCTCATCCGCTAGGAAAATGATAGGCTGGATAATGAGAACCTTCAAAAATAGGGACGCCAAGCTCATGATGATTCTCTTCAAATCGATTGTGCTTTCTAGGCTGGAATACTGCTGTACTAACGGCCCCCTTCAAGACTGGCGACATTGCAGACCTGGAGAGTGTACAAAGAAATTTCACGGCACACATACGTACGATAAGGCACCTAAACTACTGGGAACGGTTGAAGGTCCTTGATCTGTATTCCCTCGAACGCAGGCGAGAGAGATACATGATAATATACACTTCTAAGGTCCTGGAGGGATTGGTACCAAACCTGCACACGAAAATCACTCCATATGAAAGCAAAAGACTAGGCAGGAGATGCAACATTCCCCCAATGAAAAGCAGGGGCGCCACAGGTTCACTGAAAGACAACACAGTAAGTGTCCGGGGCCCAAGACTGTTCAATTGCCTCCCAGCATTCATAAGGGGGATTTCCAATAGACCCCTGGCTGTCTTCAAGAAGGCACTGGACAGGCACCTAAAGTCAGTACCTGACCAACTGGGCTGTGGTTCGTACGTCAGCTTGCGTGCGGCCAGCAGTAACAGCCTGGTTGATCAGACCCTGATCCACCATGAGGCCTGGTCTCAGACAGGGCCACGGGGGCGTTGACCCCTGAAACTCTCTCCAGGTAAACTCCAGGTATGTACTCACCATATGGTAATAATATGACATACTTTCGCCACATAGTGTAATAACACCACATACCACATGAGAGATGCTTGATAAAATTATTTAAACATTTATGTATCACCTACTTTAAAATACGGAAATATTACCTAAGGTTCAGCATATTATCAGCCAGAGTGTCGGCATCATAGTCAAAGACTGGCCCGCTGATAATGTTTAACGTTCCATACATTTGCATCCATATACCAATAAAGTTGATAAGCTGCTGCCACCGTTGTGTCAACTGACTGGTGAAGGGAACAGCGTTGGTGATCAGGTAAGATAAGTTTTGGTTTTCCCTCCTGCTGCTGAACTCTGCGGTAAGAAAGAGAAATAAGAAGAGTGCGATTTTTAAACGTGTCTAACAGCAGGAAACAAGTGCTCAGTCATGTCTTATGATGGTTAATAGGTCACAGAGGTGTACGGATGTTCCAGCCAAACTACTGAATGAATGCTGGTAAACCTGCTTCATTTCATGGTTCAGTATACCTTGGTGGAAGATGGCTGGTATAGTAAAGAAAACAAGAATTAGCATTGTTTTGAATAGGGCGTAGTTGGCATCTATTTTTTGTACATGTTGAGCAGAGGCATTCAGCATTCCACAACATATTTAGACTCAAATTGAGTTGTAATAAATAAATGTTAATGAATAAACAGAAGGGCGGACGAGGGGCTCAAACTGCGGTCCGTAAATTAACAGTTCGACGCTCTACAGCCTCGGTTACCCAGACCTCTATTAGGAAGGAATAGGAACTAATACTAACTGTGTTATATGCCATCAGAGGCTTCGAGAGAGGTAAGAACAGATCCACTGCTAAAGCTCTAGTGCCGAAGGAAGGAGTTCGGTTGAGTTACAGTTGTTGCCTCTGACAGAATATAGTACAGTATTAGTTCCTGATCCTTCCTGTTAGAGACCCGGGCAGCCGAGATAGTAGAGCGTCGGACTGTCAGTTTGTTGACCACGGTTTGAGCCCCTCGTCCACTCATATATATATATATATATATATTATATATATATATATATATATATATATTATATATATATATATATATATATATATATATATATATATATATATATATATATATATATATATAATAATATGTATAGTCGTGCCGAATAGGCAGAACTTGCAATCTTGGCTTAAATAGCAACGCTCATCTTGCCATATAGGACAAACGAAAATTTGTGTATGCAATAATTTCGCCAAAATCATTCTGAACCTAACGAAAAAAATATATTTCACTGTGTTTGTTTAGTATTAAATTATTGTAAACAAATCTAAAATATATATAGTTGGGTTAGGCTAAAATAAATTGTTCTTGCTATAATAAGGTTAGGTAAGTTTTCCAAGATTCTTTTGGTGCAAAATTAAATTTTTTTACATTAACATTAATAAAAAAAATATATCTTTAAAGTAAAAAGAGAAAAATTTTAGAAAGGACTTAATTTTAAATGAGTTCTTGCTAACTGACCAGTTTTACATATTCGGCACGACACACACACACACACACACACACACACACACACACACACACACACACACCCCACACACACACACACACACACACATATATATATATAATATATATATATAAAATATATATATATATATAATATTATATATATTATATATATTTTATATATATATATATATATGTATGTATATAAGCATGTATGTTAAAGTTTGACCTGCTTTAGGTGATAACATACCAGGAGGGAAGAGTGGTTGAGCAGTAACATTATATGAAGTAACAGTGTGATAACTGGAGCAGGTGGCACTCTGCTCTGGTGCCAGCCTCACGTCACTCATCCAGGGGGCAGCGCGAGTAACTTGATTCATACTAGACACTGTGAAGCTCGTCCAGAGAGGAAGCTTCACCAAAGGAGAGTAAGCTGAGGGGAGGGGGAAAGAGATCACATGTAAATAAGTATATAAAGAACTGAGAGGGAGACGAATAATTTGAAACAAGAGGACGAGTAAACCTCTGGTGAGAAAGTGACTAGACACAAGGGCACTAGGGATAACCTGTGAGCACAACACAGTGTTAAGAAAGCTTATCACTGCTCAAGGATAAGAATACTCATAATATTCTGCTTAGAACAGTTTACAACTAGATGAAAAATGAGACACTTCTGCAACATTTGGGAATCTTTATTGTGGAAAAGTTTCGCTAGCCAGTGGTTTCTTCAGTCCAGTACGAAGAAGAACGATGGAAGATGAGGAGTTTGAGGTCATCAATCTCTCAGCCTGGAGTCGACGTGTTCAGGTCATCAATCTTGATAAAAGTACAGCATATATGCGGATATGTGGCTTATATACTGCAGACGCCAGTGACGGCGTCACTGGTGGAAAAATCCACCTAATTTATTGGCATAACTTTCTTCCACTTGAAGATTTTTCCATCGATGTAACCTTCTGCCACTGCTTCACCTCGCCTGTTTACCTGGAGTTTACCTGGAGAGAGTTCCGGGGGTCAACGCCCCCGCGGCCCGGTCTGTGACCAGGCCTCCTGGTGGATCAGAGCCTGATCAACCAGGCTGTTGCTGCTGGCTGCACGCAAACCAACGTACGAGCCACAGCCCGGCTGATCAGGAACCAACTTTAGGTGCTTGTCCAGTGCCAGCTTGAAGACTGCCAGGGGTCTGTTGGTAATCCCCCTTATGTATGCTGGGAGGCAGTTGAACAGTCTCGGGCCCCTGACACGTATTGTATGGTCTCTTAACGTGCTAGTGACACTCCTGCTTTTTTATTGGGGGGATGTTGCATCGTTGCCCAAATCTTTTGCTTTTGTAGTGAGAGATTTTCGTGTGCAAGTTCGGTACTAGTCCCCCTAGGATTTTTTCCAGGTGTATATAATCATGTATCTCTCCCGCCTGCGTTCCAGGGAATACAGTTTTAGAAACCTCAAGCGCTCCCAGTAATTGAGGTGTTTTGTCTCCATTATGCACGCCGTGAAGGTTCTCTGTACATTTTCTAGGTCAGCAATTTCACCTGCCTTGAAAGGTGCTGTTAGTGTGCAGCAATATTCCAGCCTAGATAGAACATAGTGACCTGAAGAGTGTCATCAGGGGATTGGCCTCCCTATTTTTGAAGGTTTCATTATCCATCCTGTCATTTTTCTAGCAGATGCGATTGATACAATGTTATGGTCCTTGAAGGTGAGATCCTCCAACATGATCACTCCCAGGTCTTTGACGTTGGTGTTTTGCTCTATTTTGTGACCAGAATTTGTTTTGTACTCTGATGAAGATTTAATTTCCTCGTGTTTACCATATCGGAGTAATTGAAATTTCTCATCTTTTGAACTTCATATTGTTTTCTGCAGCCCACTGAAAGTTTTGGGGTTGATGTCCGCCTGGAGCCTTGCAGTGTCTGAAATGGAAGACACTGTCATGCAGATTCGGGTGTCATCTGCAAAGGAAGACACGGTGCTGGGGCTGACATCCTTGTCTATGTCGGATATGGGGATGAGGAACAAATGGGAGCGAGTACTGTGCCTTGTGGAACAGAGCTTTTCACCGTAGCTGCCTCGAACTTTACTCTGTTGAGACTACTCTCTGTGTTCTGTTAGTTGAGGAAATTATAGATCCATCGACCGACTTTTCCTGTTATTCCTTTAGCACGCATTTTGTGCGCTATTACGCCATGGTCACACTTGTCAAAGGCTTTTGCAAAGTCTGTATATATTACATCTGCATTCTTTTTGTCTTCTAGTGCATTTAGGACCTTTTTGTAGTGATCCAATAGTTGAGACAGACAGGAGCGACCTGTTCTAAACCCATGTTGCCCTGGGGTTTTGTAACTGATGGGTTTCTAGATGGGGGGTGATCTTGCTTCTTAGGGCCCTTTCAAAGATTTTTATGATATGGGATGTTAGGGCTATCGGTCTGTAGTTCTTTTGCTGTTGCTTTACTGCCCCCTTTGTGGAGTGGGGCTATGTCTGTTGTTTTTAGTAACTGTGGGACGACCCCCGTGTCCATGCTCCCTCTCCATAGAATGGAAAAGGCTTGTGATAGGGGCTTCTTGCAGTTCTTGATGAACACGGAAGGGTTTCCATGAGTCTGGCCCTGGGGCGAGTGCATGGGCATGTCATTTATCGCCTGTTCGAAGTCATTTGGCGTCAGGATAACATGGATAGGCTTGTGTTTAACCAAATTCTGTGGCTCTCTCATAAAAAATTAATTTTGATCTTCGACTCTCAGTCTGGTTAGCGGCTTGCTAAAAACTCAGTCATATTGGGACTTGAGTAGCTCACTCATTTCCTTGCTGCCATCTGTTGTAGGAAACCCCTCTTTTTTAAGCAGGGGCCCAATACTGGACGTTGTTTCGACTTTGATTGGCATAGGAGAAGAAATACTTTGGGTTTCTTTCGATTTCATTTATGGCTTTTAGTTCTTCCCGCGATTTGCCTGTCTCTTTCTATTTTACATCTACTCCTCCTTTTTCTTAGAGGAATAAGCCTTGTGCATACATCGAGTGCCACCAAGTTAATCTGTTCTAGGCATAAGTTGGGGTCTGTGTTGCTTAGTATATCTTCCCAGCTTATATCGGTTAGGACTTGGTTTACTTGGTCCCACTTTATGTTTTTGTTATTGAAGTTGAATTTGGTGAATGCTCCCTCGTGACTAGTCTCATTATGTCGGTCTGGGGCTCCACGCATACATGTCTGAACCTCAATTATGTTGTGATCTGAGTATATTGTTTTTGATATGGTGACATTTCTTATCAGATCATCATTGTTAGTGAAGATGAGGTCTAGTGTATTCTCCAGTCTAGTAGGCTCTATTATTTGCTGGTTTAAATTGAATTTTGTGCAGAGATTTGAAAGCTCGTGAGAGTGTGAGTTTTCATCAGAGCTGCCTCCTGGTGTTATTACTGCCTGGAGTTTACCTGGAGAGAGTTTCGGGGGTCAACGCCCCCGCGGCCCGGTCTGTGACCAGGCCTCCTGGTGGATCAGCGCCTGATCAACCAGGCTGTTGCTGCTGGCTGCACGCAAACCAACGTACGAGCCACAGCCCGGCTGATCAGGAACTGACTTTAGGTGTTTGTCCAGTGCCAGCTTGAAGACTGCCAGGGGTCTGTTGGTAATCCCCCTTATGTGTGCTGGGAGGCAGTTGAACAGTCTCGGGCCCCTGACACTTATTGTATGGTCTCTTAACGTGCTAGTGACACCCTGCTTTTCATTGGGGGGATGGTGCATCGTCTGCCAAGTCTTTTGGTTTCGTAGTGAGTGATTTTCGTGTGCAAGTTCGGTACTAGTCCCTCTAGGATTTTCCAGGTGTATATAATCATGTATCTCTCCCTCCTGCGTTCCAGGGAATACAGGTTTAGAAACCTCAAGCGCTCCCAGTAATTGAGGTGTTTTATCTCCGTTATGCGTGCCGTGAAAGTTCTCTGTACATTTTCTAGGTCGGCAATTTCACCTGCCTTGAAAGGTGCTGTTAGAGTGCAGCAATATTCCAGCCTAGATAGAACAAGTGACCTGAAGAGTGTCATCATGGGCTTGGCCTCCCTAGTTTTGAAGGTTCTCATTATCCATCCTGTCATTTTTCTAGCAGATGCGATTGATGCAATGTTATGGTCCTTGAAGGTGAGATCCTCCGACATAATCACTCCCAGGTCTTTGACGTTGGTGTTTCGCTCTATTTCGTGGCCAGAATTTGTTTTGTACTCTGATGAAGATTAATTTCCTCATGTTTACCATATCTGAGTAATTGAAATTTCTCATCGTTGAACTTTATATTGTTTTCTGCAGCCCACTGAAAGATTTGGTTGATGTCCGCCTGGAGCCTTGCAGTGTCTGCAATGGAAGACACTGTCATGCAGATTCGGGTTGTCATCTGCAAAGGAAGACACGGTGCTGTGGCTGACATCCTTGTCTATGTCGGATATGAGCATGAGGAACAAGATGGGAGCTAGTACTGTGCCTTGTGGAACAGAGCTTTTCACCGTAGCTTGCCTCGGACTTTACTCTGTTGACGACTACTCTCTGTGTTCTGTTAGTGAGGAAATTATAGATCCATCGACCGACTTTCCTGTTATTCCTTTAGCGCGCATTTTGTGCGCTATTACGCCATGGTCACACTTGTCGAAGGCTTTTGCAAAGTCTGTATATATTACATCTGCATTCTTTTTTTGTCTTCTAGTGCATTTAGGACCTTGTCGTAGTGATCCAGTAGCTGAGACAGACAGGAGCGACCTGTTCTAAACCCATGTTGCCCTGGGTTGTGTAACTGATGGGTTTCTAGATGGGTGGTGATCTTGCTTCTTAGGACCCTTTCAAAGATTTTTATGATATGGGATGTTAGTGCTATTGGTCTGTAGTTCTTTGCTGTTGCTTACTGGAGTGGGGCTATGTCTGTTGTTTTTAGTAACTGAGGGACGACCCCCGTGTCCATGCTCCCTCTCCATAGGATGGAAAAGGCTCGTGATAGGGGCTTCTTGCAGTTCTTGATGAACACAGAGTTCCATGAGTCTGGCCCTTTTGGCAGAGTGCATGGGCATGTCATTTATCGCCTGTTCGAAGTCATTTGGCGTGAGGATAACATCGGATAGGCTTGTGTTAATCAAATTTTGTGGCTCTCTCATAAAAAATTCATTTTGATCTTCGACTCTCAGTCTGGTTAGCGGCTTGCTAAAAACTGAGTCATATTGGGACTTGAGTAGCTCACTCATTTCCTTGCTGTCATCTGTGTAGGACCCATCTTGTTTTAGGGGCCCAATACTGGGCGTTGTTCTCGATTTTGATTTGGCATAGGAGAAGAAATACTTTGGGTTTCTTTCGATTTCATTTATAGCTTTTAGTTCTTCCCGCGATTCCTGACTCCTAAAGGATTCTTTTAGCTTAAGTTCGATGCTTGCTATTTCTCTGACCAGTGTCTCCCTGCGCATT